AGGAATGAGGGTGGGACAGAGGGGCCCACGAGAGAGCCCGGGAGGGTCGTTTTGTGTCGAAGCCAAGTTCACGTGCCTGCTGCTCTCTCTGCCGGGACAGGCTGCGTGCTCCTGGAGGCAAGGCCTTGGCCACTGTTGCATCCCACCGGGCACCTAGAGTGTGCCGCGTACGATGTGGTTGGGAGGTGCGGGGGGCACTGAGAGCAGAGAGGAAGGAGATGCATTCCAGGGTAAGTAAGGTAGGAGGGGAAGAATCACCAAGAGCCTACGACAGGGAAGTGCTCGGAATTCAGTGAACCGTCCTGGAGCCCGCAGTCCGGGGCCAATGGCTGTGGGGGGGCCGCACACACAACGTGCCGCCGAATCCATCTGAGCAGAGGGCAAAGGAGTCAGGCCACGTGGCATGCGGATTCTGTGCTCGATCATCTCCCACAGGGAAGAAACCACAGAGGCAGGCGGAGAAGAGAGACTACAACTGAGGGAAGGTTAGCCAGTCCCATGGGCACAGCTGGGCTGAAGAGGGCACAGGCCAGGTGGGAGCTCCCATGTGCAAATCCGTCGTCTCCTTCCTGGACCCATGTCCTCAGCCACAAGAGCGACCAGGTGGAGAGTGTGGATGACTCAGGGGCCCCCATCCCCACTACAGGGAAACAGGGAGACCCTCCTGGGAATGGGCCAGGGGTGTCAGCCTGCCCCGTGTGCAGGGAACCGTGACTGCTGGAGAGAGGAGCCCACCACAGGCAGAGCAAGTGCGACGGAGGAAGAGAGAGCAGGAGAAGAAAGTGCCTTTGGCTGGAGCAGAGAGGAGAGGCTCAGAGGACAGAGGACACCTCAGGTCCTGGGGTGCAGAGCGGCCTCTTCCCTTCTGCCCCCACAAAACAACCTCCTCTCTTGGGCTTCTTCTCTTCCTGTGTTTTCTTTTCTTTCTTTCTTTCTTTCTTTCTTTCTTTCTTTCTTTCTTTCTTTCTTTCTTTCTTTCTTTCTTTCTTTCTTTTTAAGATTTTATTTATTTATTTGACAGAGAGAGACACAGCGAGAGAGGGATCACAAGCAGGGGGAGCGGGAGAGGGAGAAGCAGGCTTCCTACAGAGCAGGAAGCCCAATGTGGGGCTCGATCCTAGGACCCTGGGATCATGACCTGAGCCGAAGGCAGACGCTTAATGGCTGAGCCACCCAGGTGCCCCTCCTCCTGTGTTTTCACTCCCTTGTTCCTTCTCTCAAGCGGAAGCCCTAGGTCTATCAAACACCCCTGCATGGAACACTTGTTCTAGAACTCCTGTCCTGGATAAAAAGCAGAGGAGACAAAATTGAGTGGGAGGAACAGCATGTGCTGTTGACCTCACTTAGGACCTCTCAACTTTGAGACTTTGATGATACACAAGGAATTTTGCACACACCCTTCCAGGGTCTAAGGAACCTCTGAGGTCTGTCCATGGACCACTGCCATTAATGTATGGCCTGGTGTCCACTGGAAAATGGGACCTACATGGGCTCTGGAGTCCAGCGGGCTTGGGTGCGTCCTTTCCAAACTCTTGTGCAACCTACCAGCTGGTTTGAGCAACCAATTTGAACTCAGTTTCCTCATCTGTGAAACGGGGGAGAAAACACTCTTACCCTGTAGGGCTGTCGTGAGGTCTAAGCACCAGAGCATGTGGGGCGTACCTGGGACAGTACGGCCCGCAGTTGGCCATCAGGACGCCGTGGTCCTCTACACCACACCTCCTCTCTGACCGTGCTGTCCCCCCATTCAGAACCTTCTGTTCCCTGCATCCTCCTGCACGGACCGCAGTCCTCCCTCAGCCTGCTGCTGCACATCACCTATGATGCTGGTCCAAGTCGCCCTTCTGCTCCTCGGTCCCAACAGCCCGCTGCTCCTCTGTGTATACTTCCCAAGCCGGACGCTTGTTCTAAACACACCTCCGGCGCCGCCAGGGCCCCGAGTCTGAGCTGCCTGCTGCCATCATTCCCCAAGGCCCAGGGAACGTCCTGATGCCTCTTTTCTCCCTGCTAGGCTTCTCTCTAGGCTGTCTGTTCCCAGCTGGACTTTAGCGCCTCAAGGGCAAGGACAGGTCATCTTCCTCCTTGTGGCGCCTTCTGGAGCACGGTGTGGGGAGCATGGTGTGGGCCGCGGGAGCCGAACCAGGGGTCCACGCAGCCCCGAGCAGAGCCAGGCGGCCAGAAGCCGACACAACCTGCTTTCTCATAAATATGGGGCACGGGCTCCCAGTCTCCTGCCCTTGGAAGGCCCGTGCTTTACATCCGGTTTCCTCGGGTGTGTGGGGTGGCCCCAGGCCGCCCCTGCTCTCTTGCCCAGACCATGTGTTGGGCAGGGCCCTTGCCGCTGGGAACACAGCAGACCCACCCACACCTCCCTGGGCATTGTCTCATTGATGGCTGGCCCACAAGACGGCCTTGGCCTGGCAGGCCCCCAGCCAGTGTCCCTGCTCTGCCCTCCTCAGCCCCATTAGCTTCAGCGTTTCACTGCCTCAGCTGAGAGAAGGGTGAATGATGAGTCCAAGGGACGTAGCAGAGTGAAACAGCAGAGCAGAGCGGATTCCAGTAAGACACAGGGAGAGCGGAGAGGAGCTGGGAGGGCCCACGTGTGGGCAGATGTATGCGGTGGGATCGGGTGGCAGGCGGCGGGCAGAACGGACGGGGGAGGACTGCGCGGCACAGCGGGCGCTGTGGGTGGCTGGAGGGCTGGAGAGAGGCCGAGAGAGATTGTGCCTCCTCTGCCGCTGGCTGTCCGGGCCAAGGTCTAACAGCACCTGGGAGGAACGAGAGGAGGAAAACAGGACACACTTCCCACCTCTGCCGGGGCTGGAGAAGAGTCTCCCGCAGGTCTTGCAGTTCCTCCCCTTCTCCCCACCCACCAGTCTCCCGGTGCCTCTTCTCTCGGACACTCCCCTCCCTGCTCCCTGCCCGACGGCCTCCCCTCCGCCTCCGGGAGACCAGCGCTGGCCCAGCGGCCCGGGAGTCCAGTGGCCGGGATGGCCGCTGGGGGGACTGACATCATTTTCAGTAGCACCCTGTGTGCACGCTGGTCGCTGCTCCGCAGACTCTGAAAAGAGAGCCTGGGGCCGTGGAGGGAGCCGTCCTGCTTGCCGTCCCCCAGGAGGACCCAGACAGGCCTCTGCGGGGGGGGGGCTCCATCTGCTGAGCGCCTGTGGTAGGAGCGCTAGGCCCTCAGGCCCATTTAATCTTTCTGATAATTTCCCGTTTGATCCTCACAACTCCCCTGTAAGGCAGGCGTGATTTAAAACACCTCCATTTTACAGAGGCCGACACTGAAGCTCAGAGAAGTTTGGAGACTTGCCTGAAGCCAGGAAGTTAGCCGGGACTCGAGCCCAGGTCAGCCTGATTCTAAAGCTAGTGTTTGTGTTTTTCAGGGGACACTGTCCCATTACGTCCTCTCGCCGTGGCTCCAGGCCCCTCTCCCTTCCCAGTCCCAGTTCGAGTGCTGGCAGAGTCAACGGCTAGACTAGATGGAAGCCACTAGCTGCACATGGCTGTTAACATTTAAATGGAAATTAAGTAAAATTAAAAATTCCGTTCCTCAGGTTGGTCATACTAGCCCCATTTCAAGTGCTTAGTGGCCCACATGTGGCTACTATATTTGGCAGCGCAGATACAGAACTTCCCTATCATCACAGAAAGTCCCGTGGGCAGTACCGAGCTGGAGGGAAAGGCAGGACAGGAGAGAGAGAGAATAGGAGAGGGCAGCCAAGGGCTGGGGCAGAGGCTGTCTTTGTGGGGAAGTATGGCGATGAGAGTCTGGACGAGGGGAGCAGGGTGGGGGAGGAGGAGAGGCAGCTTGACCTGACTCCCAGGCCTCTCCCTCTGATACTGATTCTCTGGACTAGTGAGCAATTAATTGGCTGGGGTGGGGCCAGGACCAAAGCAGGAGGGATGGAATGGGATGCAGGAGGACCTGCCTCCCTTCTGGCTGAAGTCAGGAGTCTGATCTGCCAGTCCTGCCTTTCATCCTTCGGGGGCGCTGAAGTCTGCCTGGCCTCCTTTACCCCACTCAGACTAGAGCTGGCTGTTTCCTGCCCCCTCTTCCAGGCCAGGGAGCCAGCTGACGGACTGCAGGGCCACCACCTTCCCAATTAGCCTCATTAGCCACTGGCTCTGACACCCACTGGAGTCAGGGTCATCAGCTGTGGGGGAGGGGCCGCGAGTGGCCTGTGAGTAACCTCAGACCCAGCTATGACAGGGTTCCCAGCCCAGGCCTCTCCCCAGGCTGAGGCCCTGGCACCCAGCGCCCCTCAGACTACCCCAGGAGCCCCCAGAAGGGAGAGGTCAGGGAGCTGGAGTGCAGATTCCCAGCTGGTAAGAGGGAAAAGGCTCATTCATGGATGAAACCCGTGATAGGTGTGTGGCAGGCATGAACCTGGGCAGTGACAACAGGGGGGCTCTGGGGGTGCAGGGCAGACCCTTTGATCTGCAGGGGAAAAGTGGGGGCTGAGTGATGGATCCCAAGGAAAGGGGCAGACCCAGGGGCTGTGGATGAGAAGCCAGGTGGCAGGGGTGGGGGGCCAGAGCAGCTACCTTGCTGTGGACGGGAAAGTTGAAATGTCCACGTCTGTGCATGGAAGGAGGATGGGACTGAAACAGGCCAACCCCAGGGGTGGCAGGACAGCGAAGAAGCCGGTGACTGGGGCCTGTGGTGAGAGCGGCCTCCTGAGTGGGCAGAGGGCCCGGTTCCAGGGGAAGCAGGGAAGAGCCATGCGTAGGCCGCTCAGCTGGCTGGAAGGCGGGCATTGTTAAGGTCCCCGTGGCCAGGGTTCCCCACACTGAGGCCACCTCTGCCGCTGAGTAGGCAGATGCCCCGACTGATGACTTCAGCTCCTCCCGGCCACACCAAGTTGCCCCGGGCACCTGCCCTCCACCTCCCCACCCCTCCCCAGGGTGACTCCTGCCCAGAGAATGTCCAGCCCTGGCATAAAGGCCCTGGGTGTCCACGAGCTGCTGTCAGTCCGAAGGCTGCACAGTCCAAGATGGGCTCCTCGCGGGCACCCCGGACGGGGCGTGTGGGAGGGCGAGGAACGATGGCCCTACTGCTGGCCGCTCTCCTCCTGCCAGGTAGGGGGCTGGGGGCCCCGGGAGTGGAGGGAAGGGGGGAGAGGTGGGGAGGAAGGAGGCAGATACCAGGTCGGAGAAGGCTCGAGGGATCCAGCGGTGCGGGTGCGTGGAGGTGGGAGGAATCGCCATCCGGGGAGAAGCCAGGAGAGCCCCCAGCGAGGGGGAAGGGCAGGGGCTCTGGGGCCTGAGGGCTGCTCCTCACTGCCTTGTCACTCCAGGCAGGTTACTTGAACTTCCCGAGCCACATTTTCTGAAACTCTAAAACTAGGTTAATGATAACACCTAGCTCTAGTCTCTCTGAGTCTCAAATTAAATAATGTATGTGACAAGTGCTTTGGAAATTCCAGAGGGTTATATAAATGTTGGTTGTTGTTGTTATTGCTCTTATCGATTATTAGAGCAGTAGAAGATGAAGACTGGATATTTAACAGGAATACTTGTTACCATCTATAGAGCGCTTTTTATGTGCCAGACACTATTCTAGCACTTTCCATGAGCACTTCTGATCGTTAGAAGAACTGTATGGGAGATTTGTTATTTCCACTGTACTGGGGAGGACATGGACGCTAGGACAAGTTAAGAAACCGGCTCAAGATCACAACTTAGAAAGCAGTAAAGCCGGGATCCAAACCAGGGCTGTGCTGTGGGCCAGCAGGTATTTGCGGAGATCCTGCCCACGGCCCCCAGGGGGAGAGAGCAGGCTGTGTGGCTTGAATTCTCCATGATGAGTGGGCCGGCCGGGTGAGGGGGGCTGCGGGCAGAGTTGGGGTTTGGTATGGAGGGGGCCACAGAGAACTTCTCTTTGAGGAGAGAATGGGGACATCACAGACTGAGGAGAAACTGCTTGTTGGGGGACAGACTGGGCCTCTCCGAATGTATAAAGTAATGCTCAGAGAGGTTTCGTAACTTGCTGGCATGAAGCTCGGCGCACACTGCTTGGGACCTGAAGGCCGTGAGGCAGGGAGCGGAGGAAGAATGGGCGGAAGGTGAGCCTGGGGTTGGAAGCAAAGGCTTGGTTAAGGACAGAAGTGGTTCCGCATCTGCCAGGGATGTAAAGGCGGGAGCCTGGGGGGCAGGCAGACACGGCCGTTGGCTGGGCGGGGAGAGGGGGAAGCTGATAATGGCGGTGAGCCTCGGAGGCAGGTTTCATCCTCATGTCCCTGTCCCTGGGCTGGGCCAGGACAGCAGGGCTGGCTCAGGGTGCGGTGTCCTGTCACGCGGTACCAGCAGGTTCTGAAGCGACTGTGTGCCCCCACATCCCGGCCCCCACCCAGCTTTCCTGGCATGGGCAGCACTAAATGGGAAGAGAACTCCCACCCGCTACCCAAGCCTGGACTCTCCCAGGAGGCTGGTGACAGATCTTAGTCCTCAAGGACCCTCGCCCTTACCTCAGTCCCTCTGCCACCGGCTTCCTCTTTTCTCAGAGTCTCTTTTGCTACTTTTCCTTTCCTCCCCGGTCAGTTACTGTCCTGTCTTGTCTCCTCCTTCCATTTGGCCCCTCAGCTGCACCTGGGATTTCCCCCCTCATGGTGTATGCCCCATCTCAAGGATGTCTCCCCCATGCTCTGTCTCTTCGGGGTCCTTCCTTTTGGACCCATGAGCTCCTGCTACTCCTCTGTCCCCTCTTCTCTTCTTTTAACACCCCCTCCTTTGGAGTCTCATTTTCTCTGTCCCTGCCCCTTCCCAGCACCGAAACTGCCCTTCCTCTGCCACCTCATTTTCCTTTACAGACAACAGCCAGTTCTCCCTTCCATTTCACCCCAGACTCTCCCTGGGCCCTCTCGGGAGAAATCAGAAGCAGATGACCGAGACGGGCTTGGAAGCTGAGGGAGGAAGCCAAGCCACGCTGGCCCTTCCTAACCACTCCTTCTTCCCCAGGGGCCTCGGCTAAGAGCATCGGGACCTTCTCAGACCCCTGCAAGGACGCGCGTATCACCTCCCCCAGTGACCCCTGTCTCACTGGGAAGAGTGGTTCCAGTAGCTTCAGCGGCCACAGTGGCTCCAGCAGTTCCAGCAGCTCCATTTCCAGTTCCAGTGGCTCTGCTGGTGGCCCCAGTGGTGCTGGTGGCTCCAGTGTCACCCAGGGTGGTTCTTCAAGATCTTCGTTATCTAAGCCAGGAACAGGGTATTCCCAGATCAGCTACTCCTCCGGATCCATCTCCTCCCAGTCCGGCGGCAGCAGCTCCCAGTACGGAAGCGGTAGCTCCCAACCAGGATCTGGCTCAGCTCTATCAACCAGTGATGATTCTTCCCCATTAAGCTCTTCCCAGTCTGGAGGCGGCTCGAGCTCATCTGTTTCCCAAAGCTCTTGGATGTCCAGCAGCGGTGGCCAAAGTGTCAACTCTAACTTACGCCCCTGTAGTTCAGATGTCTCTGACTCTCCCTGCAGTGGGGGGCCTGTTGTCTCCCACTCTGGCTCAAACGTCTCCAGCTCCGTGTCGGGAGGTCAAAGGCCAGTGGTGGTGGTGGTGGAGCAGCATGGCTCTGGTGGCCCTGGAGGGGTTCAGGGTACCCCCTGTGGCCTTCCAGACAAGCCCTGCCCCCCCATCACCTCTGTAGACAAGTCCTATGGCAGCTATGAAGTGGTGGGTGGCTCTTCTGACAGTTATCTGGTCCCAGGCATGACCTACAGTGGGGGCAAAATCTACCCTGTGGGCTACTTCACCAAAGATAACCCTGTCAAAGGCTCTCCAGGTGTCCCTTCCTTTGCAGCTGGGCCCCCCATCTCGGAGGGCAAATACTTCTCCAGCAACCCCATCATCCCCAGCCACAGCTCTTCTAGTTCCAACATCTACCAGTCGGGAGCTTCCTCAGCCATTGTGTTCCAGCCAGTGGGCTCTGGTGGGGTCCAGCCCTGCAGAGTTGGCTCTAAGGGGCCCTGCTCCCTCTCGAGTTCTGGAGCCCACAGCAGTTCTAGCGTCTCCAGTAGTTCATCCTTCCATCCCTGCGGTGATGTTTCACAGGGGCCCTGTTTCCCACCAGGCACTGGCTCCTTCAGCGGCACCTCCAGCTCCCAAGCCAGTGGCAAAATCATCCTTCAGCCCTGTGGCAGCAAGTCCAGCTCTTCTGGTCACCCTTGCATTTCTGTCTCCTCCTCTACATTGAGTGGGGGTCCCGATGGCTCTCCCCAACCTGATCCTTCAGCTGGTGCCAGGCCCTGTGGCTCCAGCAGCTCCGGAAAGCTCCCCTGCCGCTCCATCCGGGACATCCTGGCCCAAGTAAAGCCTCTGGGGCCCCAGCTAGCTGACCGTGAAGTTTTCCTACCCCAGGGAGAGTCACTTGACAGTCCATAAGTGAGCTTTTGCATAAGTGCATGTGTGGACATATACATGTACACACACACACACACACACACACACCATCTCTCAGTTGGGAGAAGTCCAGAGGCCCAGGTATGGGTTAGCTCAGTTTCCCTCTTCCTTCCCAAGAGAGCTGATCTATTTCCTCCATTGCTCCAATATGGCAGACTCCCCTTATCACCTCTTTTTTCTTCATCTCCCCAAATTGTAGACTCCAAATTCCTTTCCTCATTCTCTCCTGCTTCGATTCGCCTTGTAGTGCAGTGCCCTCCCTGCCAGATAACCATTCCCTAAAATTTCCTCTGCCATTTCTTTGAGATGGTACAATCCATTAGCTAACCCTACCTATTCAGATTCTTGACTGGGAAACCCCTGAAATGTCCCATAGTAACTCTGGTTCCTGGACAAGTCATCCCCCCTTTTCCCTATTTGCCAAATAAAGCATTGTCCAAACTGTTGCCTGAAAGCAATGACCACTTTTCACTAACCTTCTTTGCCATCTGGTCAACTACCATGACACGCCATGGGTTTCTCACACTCCCAATTCCACTCCCACCCTCCGCTATAGAGCTCACCACACCCTCTGTGAGTTCCCAACACTCCTTTTTGCCTCTCAAGGTCTCTGTCTCAGTGCCCCTTCCTGGCTGCCACTTCCCTCAATGCTCAGATGCTTCCCTGTGTGAGGGAGACACCAGGGTACCCCCGGGCACTAGAGTAGTTTCCCTGCTCTCTCTGGACCCTGGACAGATGATTCAATAAACCGTGTGAACTAGATGCAGACTTTTGCCATCTTGGCGTGCTGGGTCTCCTCTTAGGACCTGCTTGGTGCTTTCCTATACCTCTAGAGATCCCTATGTCTCCCATTTTCACTCATAAGTTGGAACAGTATTTCTCTTATACTTCATAGCTCCTCCCACAAAGGAGGAAAACAATAAATATTTGTTGAACTGAAAGCAGAGGTTGGTCTCCAAGATTCTTCCTCCCACTTCTTTCCTCTCTCACTGCTCCAGGAAATCTCTCTTTACTCCCCATTCACCTGGAGTCTTCCCCTCTCCCTGTATGGGGCCCTAATTTTTCCCTTCCCCACCCCATGCAGGCTCCTTCTTCTATACCATTAGTTTGCCTCATTTACTAGATGCCATCCTCTCTAGGAATCTGAGCATTGATTTCCTGGGTTTCTGGGACATTTGGAACCTTGGGAAGGCTGGAATACAACAACCAGATCAGATTCCTGGTGACTGAGTGGGAGCCCAGGTGGGTGTTGTTCTGGGAACTAGGGGTGGAGAGAGTAAAAGAGAGGATGGGAGCATGACAAGGAGCGCCGCCAAGCATAGTGACTCACTAACCTACATAAAAATGCCCCAGCCCATGGCAGAACAGAGCCAAGTGTCCTCTCCACCTTCACACTCTAGCTGCCTCTGCTGCAGTTCTAGAGAGAGCTCTATGGGAGGTGAGAGAGCAGAGCACTATAGTGGAGGAGGGGAGTTGCCTCCATGGGTGAGAGAAAGCAGAGGGTGGGGAGGGCCAAACAACTGTGTTCTGGAGACTGAGGCTGTGGCCAAGGAAGTTCTCATAGCCCAAGAAGGGGAGAGTGGGCTATGCTTGTCCCTTTAGGAAGGGCCTCAACCCAAAGCACAGGTCATCTCTCAGAACCTCTGCCTGACTACAAAGGAATTTATCCCTACCCTAGGATCTAATCCATTCCCTCCTATTGGATGGTGTTAGCTGGTCCCAAATTTAGGGCTATGGTTGATCAGAAATGACCTGGCAGCTGAGCCAAACTGCAGGGTTGACTGAAGACAGAGAAGGGCTGCAGAATAGTCTTGTTTTTGTCATCATTGGTGAGTTACACTTGGCCCAGCATCTGGACTGCAGCCAATGACAGGCATCAAGGCTCTTAGAGGTTTCACGCACCACAAATGCAGGAGGGATACAGACTCTGATGTGGGGACTCCTCTAGGCTGTGGTATGGTCAAGGTCAAAAGCTTTTGCAAATGTGGTGGATGTCATTCAAAAAGGACACTGCCCTCCACTGACCAGTTCCAAAGAGGAGCTCCCCACTCATCCACTAGCTAGTGATCAAGTGCTGAGGATGAGGATGGAAAAGAAAAATCTAACAGCTTATTTTAGACTTCATGTAACCAGGGACGCCTAGTCTGGGTACCTCCTGAAAGCAGCAGAAAAAAATGAAGGCATTTAAACACTTTTTACTGTAAAAATTTCCAACATATTTAAGAATGGACAAAAGAATTAATGAATCCCCGTGCCCCCACAACTCAGCTTCAAAAATTATCAATTCATGGCCATTTGACAACAGCATTTAAACACCCTCCTCTACTGTTAGTTGGGAACATCTACTCCCTCTCAGTATTTCTTATATTCTGTGGACCCATTTGACCCTCTGTGGTAGACTGAATGCTGTCCTCCCCAGCACCTCCAAAGATGTCCACATCATCCCTGGAACCTGTGAATATGTTAGGTTACACAGCAAAGGGAAATCAAGTTTGCAGATGGAATTAAGGTTGTTAGCTGACCTTAAAGTAGAGAGATTATCCTGAATTATTTGGGTGGGTCAATGTGTAATCATAAGGGTCTTTAAATGTGGAAGAGGGAAAAAGAAGAAAAGGTCAGAGTGATGTAACTAAGAAGGTCCTTGGTTTCTGGCTTTGAACATGGAAGAAGGGGACCACGAGCCAAGGAAGGCAGGTGGCCTCTAGAGGCTGGAAAACGCAAGTAAATGGATTCTCCCCTAGAGCCTCTAGAAAGAAACACAACCCTGGTGACTTGTGATTTTAACCCAGTGAGAACTATGTCGGACTTCTGATCTTCAAAATTGTAAGATAATAAACTTGTATTGTTGTAAGCTGCTAAGTTTGTGACTATTTGTTACAGCAGTGGTAGGAAATTAATACACCATCATTTCTTAAGGATGGGAACCAGGTCTATTTCCTTACATACAAGGTCTCATCTAGAAGCGGCCTCTCCAATGGGGGGCACTTCTGCACTCTGGAACTCCTATTGGTTGTGGCCAAGGTAAAGGAGCTATGGGGATGCATGAGGGGTGCTGGAAGATAATGATCTGGATCCCAAAGAGAAAGTGAAGAGAAGTGAGTGTTTCTATTGCTGAGAAGGCAATGAAGAGATTGGGACCCCAAGGGCGAAGGTCCTCCTATGCTTGGTGTAGGGAGCCAGAGCAGGGCAGGATGGGCAATCAGTGACGAGCTGTGAACCAGGACACCTGGGTCAGGAAGGGGTGGGGAACTTTAGGAAAGGAACCAGGGACGGAAACACCCAGCCTCCCTGGGACATTCAAGTGGCACCTGTTGCCACAGCCTGAATTAAGAATGAGAGTGGAATGTACAGACTTATTATCTGCACAACCACTGGTTCAGCTTGTTTCTGCTGTCCCCCACCGCACCAAGAGGATAAAGGGCTGGCTGTCTTGGGGCAGAGAGAGATGTTAGAGCTGAGCAAGATGCAGGGCTGCACGGTGGGGAGCAGGGTTCCTCTGGGCCTGCTTCTTCTGATCTGTCTTCATCTCTCAGGTATGGAGGGTGTGCCCAGCCCTTGCACAGGTGGACTGGGGCCCCAGAGGAACTGGGGTGGAGGGAAGGGGTAGAGGCAGGAGGGTCCCTTGGGTGCCTGGGGAAAATGAAGGGACTTGGAGCAAAGAGCATCAGGGAATCAGGGAAGGCGGGCATTGGAACCAAATATCCAGTCCATATGCTGCCTCCTCTTTCCTTTTCCTCGGGCTTCTTTGCCCGAAGCATTGGTGCAGTGGAGGAGAAAGTTCTCCAACACCTGGGCACCAACTTGCCTCTGCTTGAACAACCTTCCTTGCCCAGCCACTCCAACTCTGAACTTCCTCAGCCCAAACCAGACCCTCGGCCAAATGATTTAACAAGGGTTCCTTTGAAGCCCAATGCTTCTCCATCAGCTGGCTTCCAACCTGCAGGTGATTCTGGGGTCAGAGATGGCCCCCAACTGAGGGGCTGCCCTCCCTGGATTCCTGGCCCTCTGAAGATCCTTGGCAGATGATGGCTGCTGCCACTGAGGACCACGTGGGGGACATGCTGCCTGAAAAGTGGTCTTACCTTTCTGGTGCTGTCACCCTCCCTCTGGGCAGCAGTCCTTTGCCTGCAAGGCCCTCTGCACGCTCCACAGGCCCCATATCTGAGGCTTCACTCCTCTACCAGGACTCCAAGTCTAGACGGTCGCCTCATTCTAATGTGCTGGGAGCCCAGAGAGAAATCCTTGTCCAACACCCACCCTCTTTTATTAACAGGATTCGGCAGCCACTTCTGCCTGGGCACCCCTGGGGAACTCTGAATCCAGGAGTGTCCTGGGGAGGTGGAGGTCCTGGAACTGGATGGGGAACGAGGCCCATGCCACACCCTGTGGGAATCTGGGGTATCAATAATCAGTACCCACGTACTAGCTGGGGAGATATTAACCGGTATCCAGGAGGCAGCTGGGGGAATATTCACCTACGCCCAGGTATTAATAATCAATTTCCTCCCAGAGTTCTCCGTCCTACTGGCTCTTCTTGGGACATCCCAGCTGGCCTCCCCAATCCTCCAAACCCTGGGTCACAGTGGGGTTAGGAGAATGACAGAGGGGAAAGCCCTAAGTTGGAAATCAAAAGAATGGCGTGTGAGCTGAATGAAGATTCAATGAGTGTTTTCTAGCATTCTCTCTACTTTTCACTGCCTCTCCTGCTCCCCCCATGCTGAGCTCCAATAAAACACAAGCAGTTATTAAATTTGCTCCTTTGCAGTGTCTTTGTTTCTGGGTGCAAAGTGAAGTGAGTTTTGTCCAACCTCATTCTCTAGCCACCCCCGTGTCTCTCCAGGGTCTCTAGATGCTCTCTTACTGTCCCCTACCCTTTGCAAAAGATCAAAGCCCAGGTGTGTGAGGGTGGAGCTTCATGGTCTCACCCTAGCCAGCTGGGAGAGCTGGTTCCAGAACTGTCCTGAAATCTGAAGGGGGAGAAGGGGCAGCAGGACCAATAGAGATGGCGCCTGTGGCAAGAGGGAAGGATGAGATCCAAGAAGTTAGTAGCAGGGCCAAGTGGGAAATGAATACCCTTTGATTCACAGAGAAACAGAGAGTCAGAGAAAGTCATTTGGTTTCTGCTTACCTTTTCTTCCCCAAAATGCAAGCTTCTTGGAAACAGGAGGAATGCGTTGATCTCCTCCCTTACACGCATCACTTGGCACATTGTGCCCTAGAGAACCAAAACTTTGAACATTTGCCGAATGAATGGTAGACCTCAATGAGGAAAGAAAGTAAAGGGAGAAAGAAAAGGGAAAGAAAAACCTTGGAGTCAACAATCTTACCTGCAGCTGGTTTGCCACTTTATTCCCAAGCGATGACACAGTCTCTTCTTTTGGTCACACAGTTGTCTCTCTGCTGTGCTTTGTTTTCCCTGGAGTTCAGCATCCTGCACAAAGTTGGAGTGAAGTGGGGAGGGTCATTGCAGGAAGTGCAGATGGAAGTTAGCAGGAGCCAGCTGCGGGTGACGGGGTTTCCAGAAGGGCACAATCCTGGTGGCCACACCATGTCTTTCCCGGTGCCATTTATGTACTTCACAGAGTGATCCAGGCCTGTGTACCCTCAGAGAGCATGGGAATCACCCCAAGTCCCAGGAATTGGTTAGGTTGTGGGCAGGAGGTAGGAGAAGAATAAACATCAGAATTGGAGGGATGGGGAACCCCCTGCCCGGGAGGTGGGTGTTCTCAGAGACACTTCTCCCATCCCAGTGTCTGCCACAATACTCCATCCTATGCCAAGAATTCCTTCTTAGGACACCTTCTCGTCACCCACCACACTCCTTTCTGTATCACCTCAACCTCGCTCCCCCAATTCTTTCCCACCTTGGACTCTTGGTTTCTCCCTGTTCTGGGGCAGGTGGTTCTGTTTTCAGCACCTGTCTCTCCTACAAGTCCAAGTTCATTCTCTCAGGCTTGGGGTCTCAGTTCTCTCTCCCTCTTTCTGGTTGACGATTTGCACTTCTTTTTTTTTTTTTTTTAAGCTTTATTTATTTATTTATTTGAGAGAGAGAGAATGAGAGACAGAGAGCACGAGAGGGAAGAGGGTCAGAGGGAGAAGCAGACCCCCCGCTGAGCAGGGAGCCCGATGCGGGACTCGATCCCGGGACTCTAGGATCACGACCTGAGCCAAAGGCAGTCGCTTAACCAATGAGCCACCCAGGCGCCCGACGATTTGCACTTCTAACTTCCAACTCAGAACCCTCCTCTTCTGCATGTGTCTATTTTGTTCACTGCTGCACCCCTAGCAGCAAGTCTGGACCAAGGTTGGATCGAGGAACCCTCTCTGGCTCCCTGTTCTCTCTCTTCTTCTACCTTATTCCTGAGCCACACGGCTGCACACTGAGTCTAATCTGTATTCCTTTCTGGGCTTCCTGGAGCCTCACTGACATTTCCTTACAAACCCCACATAGCCCTTCTCAGCTTATAAAATGCTCGAATACTCCATCATTTTACCCGCATTACTATCCGTGAGGAAGGTATTATAAGATGAAGAAACTGAGGCCCAGGAGCTTCAGCAATTTACACAAGGTTATATAGCTCACAAGGGACAGAGTCAGTGACTCAAACCAAAATTTTCTCATGATCTGTGCAGGGAGTGTTCAAGTACAATATGCAATTAACAAAAACCCACCTAACTTTTATTGAGTACCTACTTACTATGTGTCAGACTCTGGATAGGGTGCTCTCACACACACCACCCTTCCAGCTAATCCCCACAATTCCATCAGGTTGGCACTGCTGGACCCACTGTACAGGTGGAGATACTGAGGCCCAGAGAGGGAAGTGAGTCAAGGCTTGCACAGAGGTAACACTGAGCCAAGGGAGTGAAGTTCATCAGGCACTTGCTGCTGATGGACGGTCCTGGGTATCTGTGGCCAGCCCCACCAGAGTGGTCTTCGCCTTAAGGTCAGTTGTTGCTAAAAAAACACCCAAACAAACAACTAAGCAGGGATAGGTCAGTGATTGGAGACATGATAAAGGTCCCAAGGTCTGCGGGGGCACGTGCTGCTGGTGTACTGATTCTCCTGCGTCTCTTAGTGGTTCGTCGGTCGAAGTGGTGGCTGGAGTAGCAGGAGTCATTTCTCTGCTCCGAGGAGGGAAGGTGTCCGGGAGGGTATGAAGCGCACTCGTCGAGAGTCAGAAGGCTGGGGTTTCCTTCCGTGTGCCCACACGGCCTCTCTGCTGTGCCAGTGTGAGCTAGTCACCTACCTCTGTGGACCTGAGTTTTCTCATCTGTAAAATGTGATGAAAGCAGATATCCTGTCTCACAGTTTAAGATCAGGACAAAGTGCATTAGAGGCTGAAAAACTCCAAGCCCTGCAAGGGATTGATGACAATGCAGTATGGGGTCCCCCCAAGGCAGTCAGGCGGGGCCACACAGAAGGATGGTGCTGAGCCCCCAGCAGGAGGCTGCTCTGGCCGTAGCTGACTTCACGGGTGACCGCTGAGGCTGGCGTGATGCTCCCATGATGCTCCCCAATGGGAATTACACTGGAGAATTATTCCAAGATCCAGAAAGCAGAGTTGGCTTCTCATTTAAGTATTTCATTCCCCAAACTGTGTTCAGTCAGGTGTTCTTTACTTACACACATACTCTTGGGTGGTAAGGTCTTTTTCGTGTATTTACCACAGACAGAAAGTGTTACAGGGTTATTTCCATTCCAACAATTCCAGGAGGTACTTAGATAAATAAGTACATAAAAAGTAAGGTTTTATTATTTCCATCTTCCGGACAAAGAACCTGAGGCTCAGCAAGGGTAGGTAATTTGCCCAAGGTCACACAGCCCATAGGCAGCGGAACTTGGTTATAGTACCATTTGGAAACTGCAAACATGGCTGGGCAGACTGAGCAGAGAGACGCTCCAGCCCCCACAGCTTCACGGCCACCTTCAGTCCTTTCGCCAACAAATCCACCAAAGACCAGCAGTCAGGTTCTGGTTTTCTCTCTCTGGACCAAACGCTTACCTCTTGGGTTCCCCTTACTCCGTTGGAAAGATGTCCCCTGTTGTCTTTTCCCTGCCTCTTTCTAGGTCAGCATTTCCCTTTTGCTGTCAGGAGGCTGGTGCACACACCCTGGAGACACTTTTACTAACCCATATTGTCACACGTGAGAGCGAGCACACGGGCCGTGAGGAATATGGTCACAGCAGGCTTTCCATGTGCAGAGCATCCTGGTCGTGGAGGCCGGTACAGTCCAGGGAAGGGGTCGTGGGAGGAGAGGGGTGGCCGCAGAGGGGTGGCCGCGGCCACGCAGGGACAGCCGTCTGCATGCTCCCAGCAGCAATGGTGCCCCGCGGAGACAGAGATCAAGAGGGTGGATGTGGTTTATCCCAGGCTGGTAGTTAAGCTGGGGCTATAGGTGTTGTTTGTTCTAAAGGAGCACATTGGGCCGATGTGCAATACGTTTTGATCTCCGATGGCCCATCTAGGCAAGCCCCCCCGGGGAAATGTGGGAGAAACAAATTGTGAAATAGTTTCCAGGCCATTTAGTCCTTCTTGGCCTCAGCATGGCAGTCATGACTGACGGAGTGGAAGCTGTTTTCTGTAGCACCTTTCCCGCTGCCTCTCTGTCTCCTTTCCTGTGCTCAAACCACTCCCTGGCTACCCAGGACCACCCGTCGGTACTCGCCTGGGCTGCGTCTGACCGCCTGTCCCATGTGCTGGGCTTTGCCCCTTGCCTCACCCCACTCTACCCCCGTCTCCTCATACCCACTGCTTTCGGGCTCCCTGTTCACTGTGACACTGTAATATGCGGAACTCAGAAGAGCTAACTCTGTTCGTGACGGACAGGGGCAAAGGTGATGAATTTAGAAAGATAAAACCAATCTACTATGTTAGTGGACCCGTAGCTGCCTGTGTCCCAGCCTTCAAACTCAGGTTCTCCTCTCCTGGGACTGCCCTTGTCTAAAGGACTGTAAGGCACTTCTGTTTAAAGTTTGTTACCCTTATGAATTTATTAAACAACATTTAAGCATTAAACCGACATTCCTCTATTTACATACTACTTACACAACTACTGTAAAAAAACTTATGGGCTTAATAAACCAAATTTATGCAAACATTAAATATTGTTTCACATTTAGACTAATTTATGCATTTAATGAAGATCACAAGTCTGATATGTAAGATGCTCTTAAACATCTTAAACCCCCAATGAAACAAACAAATGCACAAGTTATAACGATTATAAAACTGATCACTTCATTTCCACTGAAAATCAGAAAGCTAGTTTCATGGATTTAAACTTCTTCATTCTTCTTCCCTTTCCTCTTCCACTGTTGGGCTCCCTTTCTAGGATATCAGTATGTTTTATTTGTATACCATCCTGAGGTTTCAGTAATCTTAGGATCTGCATTTGGGCCACCTGAGTTTGGGCTGGAAGTGAGGCTGGCTGCACAGTTTACAATTCAAATCTGGGCTGCTTGTGACCCGCATGAGCTGCTACTCTTTCTGCTCACCTCCTTCCCCTCCTGAGGAGCTGCCTGATGTCCTGCAAACCCGCTGCACTCTTTCGCGTTCCCCCAGCTGTGTATGAAGCCTCCAAGTTTTCCGTGTTCTTGTCAGCACTTGGTATTATTTATATAGCCAGGACTGTGGATGTGAAATTGTATCTCACTGGAGAATAAAACTATTAAAGGGCATAGATTTTAGAATTTTGCAACCCATTTTGTCCCCTTAACATAACATACTTAAAAAATCCCTCTTGCCCGGTGTTGCATAATACATTTTTCTC